AGAGGGGCGAGCCCGGGAGATGTGCCCCCGCCCGTCACGTGTGGGGACCCACTCTGAGCCGGGCGCCCGGGGCTCTGGCCTGTGTGCCCTGAGCAGCAGGGGACGCGAGGAGGCCTGGGCGGGCCACGGGCGGAGGAGCCTGAGCGTGGACCGGAGCCGCTGTCCTGGCTCTCGTCCCCCATTCTGGGTGGCTGTGGGGCGGTCCGGCCACCGCCCCCCACCCCCTGCCTCACGGAGCCCGCTCTGCCCCAGCGAGGTGTTCTGCCGGGACGGCAAGGTGCTGCGGGAGGGGGACCGAGTGACCATGCCGCGGCTGGCCGTCACCTACGAGACACTGGCCTCCGAGGGCGCCCAGGCTTTCTACAACGGGAGCCTCACGGCCCAGATTGTCCGCGACATCCAGGAGACTGGTGAGTGCGAAGGACTTCGCGAAGGGAGCCTTGAGCTGGGGCCCAGGGGCCTGGGGTCCTTGGGGCCGGCCTGGGCTGGGCACTGGGCCCTCAGGGATCACCTGGTTGGGGAGGGTGAAGGCCATGGAGCCACAGCTCCCGGTGAGGTCAGAGCTGAGAGAGATGGTACAGTTCAGGAGAGAAAGCTCCCCCACCCATGGCTCCCTGAGTGTGGGGGTGGGAAGCAGGTGTAGGCGCGAGCCAGGGCCCAGGAGGCGCTGAAGTGCAGACCCCGGAGGCCTTCCTGGAGGAGGTGGTGCCTGAGCTCCAGGTGAGATTGCATGTTATAGGCAGAGAGAGGAAGGATATTCCTGGCGGAGGGAACTGGCTAAGGCCTGGAGAGGTGATTTTACTTCTCCAACAGCGGCATGGGGTTGGGGGGCGGGGGCTGCGTGCAGGGCCCTGGGGTTGGGACCTTGTGGGGCAAGTTCTGCTGGAGCCCCAAGTGACTTCTCCCGCCCTGAGCTGTGGCCTTCTTCCTATGTGAGTTTTTTAAAAAATATTTTTATTGATTTCAGAGAGGAAGGGAGAGAGAGATAGAAACATCGGTGATGAGAAAGAATCATTGATTGGCTGCCTCCTGCATGCCCCCCCACTGGGGATCGAGCCCACAACCCAGGCATGGGTTGACCGGACTCGAACCTGGGACCCTTCAGTCCGCAGACCGACGCTGTATCCACTGAGCCAGCCCAGCCGGGGCCCCATGTGAATTCTGTCTGTCTGTCTGTCAGGAGGGGCGTGACTGGCACGTTGACCTTTCCCACTGACACAGAAATTCGCTGTAAATGCCGAGCTTCCCCTGGAGAATGCAGCGCCTTCCTCCACCCCCCACCCCCCAATTAGTCATGGGAAGAGGGGGCTGAGCAAGGGGGAGACGGACAGACAGGCTGCCCAGAGGACAGACAGCCCACCTGGAGGCCAGGGCGAGGAGAGGACGGCTGGCCTGGGCCTGGCCATGGGGAGACAGCACCACAGGGCAGAAGGGGCTACAGGGGGGAGGGGGCAGTGTGGAGGTGGGGGCGGGGACCCTGCAGGTGGGCGGGCCCCCTCCAAGAGTGAGGACACAG